GGCCGCCTCGTCCCGCCGCACCGGCGGGGCTCCCCGCGCCCGGCCGGCACCCACACACCGGGAAAGCGCCGCTTCGGCCCCGGCTCGGCCTCGCCGGCAGCAGGTGCTCCTTCCCCCCGCAAGCCCGCTCTGGGTCCGGCGCTACCGATTCGCCGCCCCCCTCTCTTCCCAGGCGCGAAACGTGTGTTTCTTTAATCTTCGCTGGCTGCTCGGGGGTTTGAGGAAAGCGGGGACAGCACCTGCGGGAGAGCCGTTCTCCTAACGACCGGGAACGATTATCAACAGGTCTTTGCCTCCGACCCTCAGACTTAGGACGCTCCCCGAAATACCTTGCGTGAACCTGTCACAAAGCGGAGGTATTTCGTAAATATTTCACTTAAGTCCACCAGAAGTGAACAGGCTCTCCGGTGGATGAGGGCGTTTTTTCCCGAGAAACCAAGCTACTACTCACGTCTATTTTAAAAGGCGTTTATAGCTACGGAAATCCAACGCGTAAGCGCTGCAAACCTGTCTTGGTACTGCAGCACCCTCACGGCCGGGCTTTCGTGCTAAAAACACGCTGAAAATTAATTGCGTCGCCGGCTGATGCATTTTGCAGCATCTCCCAGCGTTTTGCCCGAGCCGACAGCTCCGCGCTCCAGAACTGTTGCTGCGTCTGAAAAGGAAGAAAGCAAAAGGCAACTTTTCAAGCATCCCATTAACCTTCCCAGTCAGTGGCAACACGGCTAAACATACCCTAGATAATATGGAGGGGGGGGTCGGGTGACAATTTTTCAGATAAAATTGAAAAAGCTCACCAAGGCTTGCTCGCCTTTTGGTTATGCACCTTCTTAAACATAAGGATTCTTCTAGTCAGTCAAGGGGCAACTCACATGCCACCATCTTTTATTCAAAGGCAGGCACAGATGTTCCTTCTGCAGGGGAGGTTTTAATTTATGAAAATGATATTGTTTATGCATGAATGCACTCTGCATAACACACAGTACTTCCATCTGATGAGAGAAATACCACAGAACCAGTGCCAATGTCAGGAACATATTCTGCAAATTTAGTCGCTTAAATGTTTAATGAATATTTGGAAGGCATTTCCAAACCACAAGAAACCTTTTCAATTACCTTTTCTTTTTCCACAGTTAATAACAAAATTCAACTCCTCTAGCCAATGTAATTTACTTAAAAGATCTACCTAAGCTATCTAAACATTTGCTACTCTGATACTTTAGAGAAAATAATATTTTAATGTTATGAGCTACCTAATAAGGAAAATTAATTAGGCATTTTGGTAACTAGAGGCTCCATTTTACAAATCACTTGTGAGTTTTGTTATTTCAATTAGTTTAGGGGTTTTTTTCCCCCCCACCCTTATAAAATATTGGAGGTGTGTGTGTGTGTGTGTGTGTGTGTGTGTCCCTTTGCTGCTGCTTCTGATGCCTCCATGATATTTATTTTTCTTACTGGTAGTATCAAGCCAAATCTTGAAATATCTGCTCATGACTCCCACAGGAAGGCCGATCAAGGTCTCTTTCAAAGGAAAGAATTACTCACACTGTTCCTCTCCCATGAACATATCGCTAATTAACTAAGGCTATAGTGGGATTATCTAAATTCCGCTTGCGGAGGAAACTCTGGGGTTGAGTCATACCCACACACGTACTGGGTCATCCAGCACAGGCCTAGGACTCTTATTTTTATGGCTTGTTGGGACCAGTGGCCTTTCCCTTCTTTATGCCGTACTTCTGACAGCAGAAATTGTTCTGCCACCGGAGCCTGCTTGAGAAGACCCCAGTGAAATCTCTGCAGGTACAGTGCAGGAGTAACAGTCACAACTTGCAGCTTCTCCCTTCTCGGTTTTCTGATGCAACAGAAGAGGGTCTGGAGGTGGTGGACCCGTTGTTGCCTGTGATACAGCTGAGGCCTCAGTTATAGCAGAGGGATCTGAAATGGTGGAATTCCAGGTTACATCCACAAGATGTCTGAGAGACTGAAGCCTCAGGTTTTACCTAGCCTGAAATGAAGAATGTGCCTGAATATCATCAGACTTCGGCCCAGTGCCTTCAGGAGGACTCCCCAAGGGAAGAGAAGCAGATTCAAGGAAAACCAAGATTCCTGAATTCACCAGAAGACAGAGCATTGCTTTCTCTGGAAGATACTGTTCCAGGATTTTAATAAACTAATATTAAAAAGCAATATACAGTTCCAAATGTAATAGGAATTAATAGAAATAATTTTAAACTAAGTCTTGAGAGCAAGTAAAACCAATCTTTTCTGTCATCTGCAACAGTAAAAATCCTTGCAGTTTCAGTGTTTTAACTGATCAAACCTGGATCCACCATGACCTTCACAATTGCTTTTGACATATTAAAAATATAATGACTCTTTTTTTAAAAAACAACACAGTACTTCTGTACAAAGAACCATCTTGTCAAATAGTTTGAGAAATTACAGAGTTAAATTCCATTCTTTTGTTTATATATAAGTATCTAAAGATAAAAACACAAACAAAAGCCACTCAGTTCTCACTCATTCCTATTGAGGAAGAACTCACAGAAGTGAAACTTGGAGTTCTGCCTGGTGGTATATCAGGGAAAATATGCAGAAATTGGTCTTTGTTTTTATTGACCAAGATGGGTTGTATGGTAATTATTTCAGAAATTATAAATGGTCTACACTCTTTCCTTAGCTGAAAATCCCATATTACAAGAAATCCTTGAAAACCATAGTACATGAATACATGTCAAAACAGTGAGCTGAAGATCTACAAATAGACTGTTATTTAAATATGTACATAAGTGTTTTTTAAATAATTCATATATGTATTTAACAAACTGTCAGAAGCTATGCTATACAAAATTAAAACTGACAGTGCTCCCAAAGCATTCTCTCAAGTATTTAGGTTGCCTAAAGGGTATGTAAAACAT